GTCGGCCTTCCAACTCGTCGAGTAGGGTGTAGATCTCGCGTTCTTGAACTATCCTCTACTGGACGAGTTAGGTTCCCAACTCGCCGAGTCCACACACCCAAAACCCTAAATCTTAATTAAATTAAGTAATACCTAGAACAGGTGTTACATGGTGCCTTAGACCCATTGGTAAGGTGATAAGACTCCCTCTCGTGAATATAGAACTGACTAGCTAAGATCTAGTATGTCCCCCACGCTGTTCCCCTTCAATTGCCTATAATCATCATGTGATTAACTTGTCACAATCCCATGGACCTCCTTAAAGGCAACCCTGGTCAACAGTCAAGCTCAACATTCCATGTTGACCTCAAGTCTTCGAGTACATCTAGCGACTCATCGAGTTTTCTGTGTAGTTCATCCACTCGCTGAGTTACTCGTGTAACTCACCGAGTGTAACGCCCGTAGATCCGGGCTAGTCAAATTAGAAACGATAGGCATCAAAAATGACTTTTTGATGGAATATTATTTAGAAGGATTAATCTTAACCAAGTTGTAGTATATGTCACAAGGTTTTCGTGCATATAAAGAACGCCAAAATCCGAGTTATAACGAAGAAGTTATGACATGTCGAAGTTTCGCGACAGAACCGACATGACCCAGCGCGACCGAGCGCAACGTAAATAGTGAAATTAAGGTAGATAGATATCTATCCTTAGTGATCTAAATTAGAGTCGAAGATTTCTTCGATAGTAGTCCAACGATAAAAAGACAGACGAAAACGGAGTTCATATGAAGGAGTTATGAATTTCGAACGGAGTTTTCCTGTCTCGGCCTACTAAAGATAATATATAAGTAATATACTTATAATATATTAAAAAAAAGTCAAAATTAGCCAATGGAGTCTAAAATAGAGTTGTAGAGCATAATCTCACCTTCGCGTCGATATAAAGAACGTCGAAAACGGAGTTCGTATGCGAAAGTTATGAATTTCTGAAGTTCGGGGCGCGAACCCCAAAGCTATGTCAGAGACCATGACGTGGCAAGTCTCCTGACCCCTCCGGGAGACCCCCATATGCAACTTGAGATGATGCATACAGCGACGACCAAGCCCACGACGTGGCAAGAGGTTCCGCAACGTGGCAAGGGCCAGTTTTGCCCTATAAATAGATTTGAAGGGCCAGTCGAGTTTGGTTGCTCATTCTCTCATCTCTCACCCATATTACCTCGATTTACGTGCAAAGAAATACCCCCGAAGCCCTGGTATCAACCCGAGACCCGAAGCAAGTCCCGAAGCCCCGAAGATCCCGAGAAGAAAAGAGTTTCCGAGCCGAAGCTCTGCCCGCGAGAAATCCGGTGTGTGAAGATATCCCGGTTTCACCGAAGAATACTACTTTTAGAGCTGTAGTGTTGTACGATCGTCTTCTGATCAAGTGAGTGTATAGTTAATTTCTTCTAACACATAAATATAAAGTATTAGCTAAGAAATATGTGCTATGGATTATATATTATTTGTCTATTTGAGATGGGCTTGGAATTGATGTTTTTATTCGGGTGTTAAATGATTTAAATTGTGCTTGTATTTATATCTACAAAAATGTTGGGTAGAACATGGGTAGATGGAATAGTTGGTGACGATGTGACTTCGTGCCTATTGAGTAAACCTTGGTGACGATGTGACTTCGTCCTATTAAGTAAACCCTGGCGACTATGCGACTTAGTGCCTATCGAGTAAACCTTGGTGACGATATGACTTCGTGCCTATTAAGTAAACCCTGGCGACTATGCAACTTAGTGCCTATCGAGTAAACCTTGGTGACGATGTGACTTCGTGCCTATTGTATAAACCTTGGTGACTATGGAGTTAGTGCCTACTGTTAAGTGAACCTTGGTGACTATAGAGTTAGCGCCTGATAACTATGGACTTAGTACATGATAGATAAACTTTGGCAGCAATGGACTTCGTGCCGATTCCTTAGGTAAATCCTTAGGAACGAATGAATAAAGGATAGTTGATTCTTAGGGTAAAACCTTAAGAAATAAAGAAGATAATGGGGATGGGTAATTGGGTTGATTGTTTGATGATTGAATATAATAATTATATTATTGTGGGTTGAAAACCCTATATGCTCACCAGGCTCCCAAGCCTGACCCACTCAGTTTTCTTTGCATTACAGGTAATGGCACAAGAGTATAAGTTGATGGACTTGACGAGAGATTTTGGATTATAAATCAGTAGTTATAAATAACTGTTGTAAGGTCTATTTTATATTGTTTATGCTTATGGTCTGTGTCGGAACATGACATCCTGAGGTTTTATTATTTAATGAAAATACATTCTCTTTGAGAAACGTTTTGATAAATTTTATCATATTTTGTTTTGGGAACAAATTCTGCAACCGTTTTCTTTAAACGATCACTTTGATTTATAAAACAAAGCATAAACAAATCGGTCTTTTCTGGCCGTGTAATTGGGGATGTCACACCGAGTCCCTTCGAAAACTCATGAGATTGAAAACTCATGACAACCGAAAATTCATGACAACCGAAAACTCATGAATCTGAAAACGAGTAAACCCTACTCGACTCGTCAAGTCAGCTAAGGGACTTAACGAGTTCTTTCGGTCTTTTTCAAGTTCAGCCCTTTTCAGTAGGATCTAAGGTCTCAAACTCCAGATCCAAACTCCCTTAGTGCAGATACCACGTAAAGTTGCAAACTTTACGTGCATGCAAGGTCCTCCGAGGTTATATCTTCAAAACTAGGCTTCTTACAAGGTTTTTGTGCATGGAAAGTGGCTACAGTACACAAAGTGAACAACTTTATGTCATTGGGGGACCTAAAGGGGTCTAGATCCGGAACCATGTCCTTGTGATAGGTCCAGATCCGAGTTTGGACTCTATTTGCCCCAAAAATGATCATTTACTTGTAAGAGAAGGGATCTAATCAGCTAGAGATCAAGGTGATGATTTTACACCTCAAGATGATAGCTAATATGAAGTAGATGTTGGATCTACTGTTCCTCTCCTTGCTCCTTCCTCTTTATGCTTTGAAATCCTTCAGAAATATCTCAAAATGGCTCATACACATTCAAGGAAGCTCAACAAGCGGCTAGGGTTTCTTTTTGGGTTGCAAGAACGATAAGGGAGGCTACAAATGAGCCACAAGTCCTTTAAATAGGGTGCAAACCTTTGAAAATTAGAGTTTCTCTTTACAGCTCCTACTCACCGAGTCGGGGTCTTCCGACTCATCAAGTAGGTCCCGATCCCGCATCCACAAATAATGTCTCTACACGACGAGTTGGACTCCCAACTCGCCGAGTCCACGCACAAAAAAGTCTAAAATTAAATAAATATGATGTAAATACATGAATAGATGTCTTAAAAATGTTTTAAAAACATCTAACAAGTTATACTATTAAACTTTAATAGTAGTTTAGATTACTTTGAATGATTATTATTGTTTTATTAGACTTTGAATGGTTGTTATTGTTTCTGCTAATAAGACTTTTAATGTGGTATGAAAAAAAATGATTATGTTTTGGAAAAATTGGTATGCTTTTGTTACAATTTTTTGGAATTATATTTTGAGATAATATATTTAAAAACTTGAACTACCCTATGCACAACAGTGTAGAAAACTAGTCCCATAAAGAAAGCAATGAATTATAAATACGTGTGATTCTCGACTAAGCTGTTGTCTATTCCTCCACTATATCTATTCTGAGAAAAGTTTTGGTATTTAAATACTTCGAGATTGAACCGAAAGAAATGGTGTAATAATGGTGATAATTATTGCTTAGAGACTTTTTATATATTTTTTCAAACAAATATTGTTGTAATCTTGATTACGATGAGAGCCATATGGATTGCTTACAAGTTTCAATTATGTATATTTCTTTAACTTCCTTCTTTAACGGCTTTAACTATTAGTGGACGCTGATATTGTTGCAAAAGAAAGGTTTTCTTTTTTGAATTACGTACAAAAAACTACATTAAATTTGATAAACTGTTAACGCTCTTTTACTCATAAATTTAGTATCTTAGCTACTGTAGTTATGATGGTTATTTTACAACCACTGAAAACATTAAAGCTGTATGTTAAAACAATCGGAATTCTTTTGTGGTTGTAAATTACTTTCGACGCTCGGAAATCAAAAAATTGGATAGAAACGGGAGTAGGTGAGTTTTGTTTTATTGCCTTCGATATAATTGGGGGTATACTTGTCAGATCAACGATTGATCAATTAAATATGACAACTTTGACCCTATCTGTTAATCTCCTTTCCTAGTCTCGTAGAACTTCTCTCATGCATAGGAATATTTCAAGACAATACTCGTACTTCCCATGCACTATCCAGTCAAAAATACCATTATACTATATATAAATATCGAAAAAATATCCAAAACAAAGTTTTAAGAATTTTCCTTAATCGATCTATATATACGCATGTCTTGAATTAATTAAGGTTGTGCTTTTTTCTTGAAAAGACAATAACTCATACTTAGTATTTAGAATGTCTAAAAAAAACCAATTGATAAAATATAAAGTTTGATAAAAATTAGCCAATAAACTAGTTGTAGGATATAAAATATTATAAAATGATATTGAGAAGAATAATATGTTTTTATAATTAGTTAACGATATCTTTTTAAAGTTTAGTAATTAATATTTTTGAAAATTTAGTATAAATTGTTTTCTAAAAAGACAGCTTATAAATTTTTTTTTGTTTGTAAACATGACAATTTAAATAATTCGAAAAATAAATTATCTTATCAAGTAATTATTATGGTGTTAAAAGACAACCATAAGAAGAGACATACTACATATACAATATTGCAGTAAATGCTTAAATTAGGAATTCATAGTTTTTAATAATTTGTGTCAATTGTATGGTAACCTTTCCAAGAAAATTATCTGAACCTAAATGAACTGGGTCACCTACTATCATCAACTTAATCAGCCGTATGGAATGATCATCCACATAAAAGGGCAATAATGTAACTTCACAAAAGTCACTGCAAGACTCGTGTCATAATCCAAGTGTATATCTGAAGCAAACAAACTTATGTTTCTTTATAAATCATCACCAACCAAGCTTTCTAATACCATAATTGTTTCCTTCAACCCACTCTAATGGCAAATTCATTAACCTTCTTCCCCATTTTAATGCTGTTGTTTACCTGTAACGTGTACACTAATGCATGTTATCCGTCAATTATAAGCTTCGGGGATTCCCTTGCTGACACCGGAAACCTAAAAGAAATGGCCTCTAAATCCAACGTTCAGCCACCCCATTTCTTGTTTCCACCTTATGGCGAAACGTTTTTCAATAAACCCACTGGACGTTGTTCTAATGGACGTTTGATCATCGACTTTGTTGGTAATGCATAAGAAGACATGTGAATTTCTTTGTTGAGCATTTATTATGGCTGTATATGTTTTCTTCTATAGTTGAGTGAATTAGTTTTTCTTGTTTGTTTTGAAGCTGAGAGTCTTGGGCTGCCGTTGATACCACCGTCTCTGGGAAGCGAGACGAACGTCTACGTGACGGAGTTGGGAGAAGGAGTGAATTTTGCGGTGGCGGGGGCGACGGCGTTGGATTCGTCGTTTCATGAAGCAAGAGGGGTTGGTATTCCGACGAATGCATCTTTGGGAGTTCAGTTGGGATGGTTCAAAGATTCGTTATCATCTATATGCCCTGCCGTTTCAGGTAAATAAGTCAAACCAACATGCACCTAAATTAATACAGTATTTTATTCTAAAGATTAAATATATAAAAGGGTATCATTTACTTTACTTTTAATCTGAAATCATTCCCCCCACCCCACACACACCCCCTTCCCCCTTTTTTGACTTGTTTTTTTGTTTATTTACTTTTTTGTTTTTTCTTTCTTTCATTTTATATTTTAATCTTATTGTTATAGTTGTTATTATTAGGGCTTTAAACGAACCAAACGAACACGAAGAATGTCTTGTTCATGTTCGTTCGTTTAAGTTAGCCGAACAACAAAAGAACACAAACGGATAAACGAACGAGATTTTTTTGTTCATGTTCGTTCGTTTAACAAATTACTTTGTTCATGTTCGTTCATTTATGTTCATGAACATGCTAAACGAACATAAACGAACAAACATATACGAACAAAGATAAAAAAAACACAATTGAACATATATGAACATAAACGAACATATAATATAACAATATAATAAAAAATAATTGAATATAGATGAATATAAATAAACTTAAACGAACAAACATAAACGAACGTAAATGAACATCATAAACGAACGTTCACGAACATAAATGAACGAACGAGACCATTGTTCATGTTCGTTCATTTAACTAAACGAACGATAATTTTTTTTTCATGTTCGTTCATTTATTAAATAAACGAACATAAACGAACTTCCCGCCGAACAGTTCACGAACGGTTCGCCGAACGTTCAGTTCGTTTACAGCCCTAATTATTATTATTGTTCATGTGAACGACTTGATTTTGTGAGATCATAAGATACAATTCTAGTCACTAATTATATAGTGAAAAATAACATTTTTAAAAAACAAAATAATTGAAAATTTCGAATTTTTTTAAAATATTATTTTTGTCATTTATATTTTCCAAAAAAAATTAAAAAAATATATAAAAATAAATAAAAAATTACCATTTTTTACATATTCCAATAGAATATTAGAATATTCTAGTGGAATATTAAAATATTTTACATATCTGACAAATCTAGTAGAATTTTCTAACATTTTAAAAATCACATTGGAATATAAGTAGTATAATATTCTATTAGAATATTTTACGTATTAAAAAAAAATGGTATTTTATTTATTTATTATTATTTTTTTAGGTAAATAAAGTGATGAAAATAATAATTAGAATTTTTTTTTCGGACTTTTCCTTTTATTTTGTATTTTAAAATTATTTTTATATTCCATCTCACAGTTTGTCAAAATTAACATGACCTCCAAATGAACATATATATATATATATATATATATATATATATATATATATATATATATATATATATATATATATATATATATATATATATATATATATATATATAATCTGGCCCAAACAAAATTAGGCAATATACAACTGTTCACTTTGCTCCTCCTCAACACAACACACTTATGACCCTATGCGAAAACTAAAATGAGCCTTAACTATAATTTTGAAGGCACTATGCGAAAACTAAAATGAGCCTTTTATATATATATATATATATATATATATATATATATATATATATATATATATATATATATATATATATATATATATATATATAAACAAAATTTGTCTATACGACGATAACCCAATAAATGTTATAAAGACAATAAAAAACGATAATACAACATATAATCTTACATGGTTAAATGATTTGCGAGGCTCTCATAGCATTATACAGTTATTTATAATATGTTTGTTAGTATGTTACATTCATTAATCAATGACAACAATCAGAACACAAAATGAGATGTCGTTAGATTTAGAAATTGGGAATAGTAAAAATGTAGTTGTTCATTTCAGTTAACAATAAAAAAGTAGAGCAATAGTGAAATATAAACGTAAGATGAAGTTTAGTGGAATTAGAAAAACAATAAATAAATAATGTTGTTTGAACTTTGTCGGTTGCTACAATTTTGGAAGTTTGGAATTTGAACATAATGTAAGATCTTATTACTGTAAATTTACACTAGCCCAAAAGCAATTTTAATTTAAGCCCAATTTTTTAAAATGTGAGTTGTTGCAATTTTTAATTGTAGCTTTAGTTATTGGAAAATAGACAAGCTTTAGCGTTTTTATTACTGGATTGTCGATTGCTAGATTATGAATTTAATCATATGTAAAATTAAACCCCCTTTACGACATGGGCCCTATACAATCGTCCGCCTCACACACCTTCAAAGATGCTCATATCGAAAATCGCACAAGGTGCCATAATGTATTACTAAACTCATTCTTATTGTATTTTCACATTTATGGATAAGCTAAGCAAATATATTAAAACTATCTTATTTGAAGTTTTTTTGGTTTGAAATTGCTTAGTCTTTCATGTCTAGTGCAATTTTATAAATATTTGTCCAAAATTAATATTATATACTATATCTAATTACAATTGGATGATGAAAGTGTAGTTTGCTTCCATATATATGAATTTTGTAGGGGTGAGCATGAGCCGAGTTGGATCGGTTTTGAGGTAATACCTAACCCAAAACCAACTTGTCGGTTTTTAAAAAAATAGAATCCAACCCAAAACCGATAGGTTCGATTTTTGGGTTCCAGGTTCGGTTTCGAGTTTACCTGTTTGGATATCTTTGAATCAAATTAATTATGAAATAAGCACCAAAAGAAACTCAATTTCGATCCCATTGTCGATGTGGGATGAATTCTGATTTTGAGAAACATTCTATGAAGGCTGGGTTTCAATAATCTAGCAATGTGGGATACATATATTATAAGTCGTTCAGGAAAACAAATCAAGAGTGTAGTTAACAAGTTTCGGGTTTCAATAATCCAGCGATGTGGGATACATATATTATAAGTCGTTCAGAAAAACAAATCAAGAGTGTAGTTAAGAAGTTTGGAACCTCGGAGCTTTGGTTAAAAATGCCAACACATTAACCACCTAAACCATTTGCTTCTTTGGTTATAATTATGCAAAATATATCTATATTATGTATAAAAATATGTATTTTTTATAAACATTTAATATAGTCGGTTTCGGTTCGGTTTCTATCAGTTTTACCAAACCCAAAAACCGAACCCAAACCGAAATTTTCGGTTTTTGAAAAAACTAAACCTAAACCGTCGGTTTATGTTTCAGTTTCGGTTTTGTTGATTTTTGTTGGTTTTTCGGTTTCCAGATTCGTTTTTACTCATCCCTAGATTTATGTCATATGTGTTTAAAATATTGACAACTATGGTCCTTTGTCTTGATAGTTGAGATTTTTGGCAGATTTAGTCCTTTATTTTTTTGTTTCAAACTTTGGCCATAAAAGTTTTCTATATTTGCAGTTTTGGTCCCTAGAGGTTTTGAGTTCAAACTTTGGCCACAATAGTTTTTAGTATTTGCATTTTTTCCCCTATATTTCTGTATAGTGACATAGTTCATCCCTAGACTTTTATACTTTATACTTTCGCCACAAGACTTTTATATATTTGCAGGTTTACTCCTTACATTTTCGTAGTTATGCAAGTTTGGTCCTTACTACTAATTATTATCTAAAAACCAAGTTTGATTGTTTAACGTCTCAGTCGCAACGAACTAAATTTGTATGCTGTATTAATCTAATGCAATAAAAGTTGGTCGGATCTCGTAATATCTTATCATTATGCAATGTGTGGTCCTTGTTGATGACCCACTCAACTACTTTATAGTGTAATTAACGGGTACTTCTCTTTAACTCGGTTTGTGAAAGACACACATGGCTTTGGAGAGATATGCACGTATTTATGGAGCAATTATCATGGAATCATTACTTAATAATTAAATGGCCTTCAAATTGGGTTGAAGCTTTTATTGGAAGTGTAAATAATCAAATCACGTGAAATTGAAAACTGTAAACTCAAATTATATGAAAAAAAAATGATATTTTGAGCGTAACACGTTTTGAACCTTGCACAACTAGGCTCTCATTGCCGGGACAAAATTATTTGTATATAACAATTTATGCGAATCTTAAATTGAAAATTCGTTTTGGTTCATATGGAGTAAATTGAAATGAAAAAAGTGTAAACTTTAAAATGATTTCGATTACAATGCATAAAAGAATTTGCAAAGTGCTCTATTAATGCTAAGTTATATAATTAATCTTATGCTTATATATCTTTTCAGAGATTACTTTAAGTAATATTGATCAATCTTTTATAAATGTCTACATAAATTATTGCAGACTGCAAACAGTTAATTGGACAGTCTTTAGTTCTCATGGGAGAGATCGGAGGTAACGATTACAATCATGCATTAATTGCCGGAAAATCTATCGATGAGGTTGAAACATATGTTCCATTTGTTATTAACACCATCATTTCAGCAGTCAATGTAAGAATATAATCAAAATATGTATTTTGTTTTGGTCATACTTGTATGCAATTATATATACAAGACTTTGTTTGAGGGTTGGATATGATGAAAATCACAGGAGCTTATTGAGCTAGGAGCTCAAACACTTGTTATACCAGGAAACCTACCAATTGGATGTTCTGCTGCTTATTTGACGATCTTTTATGGCTCTGATAATGTCCAATATGACAATTCAACCGGATGCATTATCACGTTAAACAAGTTTGCTGAGTACCATAATGAACTTCTACAAAGAAAATTACAACAAATACGAGAGCTTCATCCTGAAGTCAACATCATTTATGCCGACTACTACAATGCTGCCATGCAATTTTTTCGTTCTCCAAACAAATTTGGTACATAATATGTTACTTTTAGACATGAATAAGTCGTTCTTATAGCCAAAACCTTGCAACTTGATATGCTATAAGCTCCCTGAATGATTATTTATGTTTCATATCTACATGTTCCAGATAAATATTGTTTACAAATTTTTGGAATGTTATAGGATTCACAAATGGAGCGCTAAAAGCATGCTGTGGAGGTGGAGGACCGTTTAATTACAACCCGTCAATACATTGTGCAGACTCATCATCCACTTCATGTGCACAACCAGAGACATATGTTAACTGGGATGGGTTACACTTAACGGAAGCTGCCTACAAAGTTATCTTCAAGAGCATATACGAAGGATCATACACAACTCCTCAGTTCAACACTTTATGTCCAAGTTCAACGTTACAAGGGCGAGGAGGTTTGTCAAGTTCTATTTAAAAACTGAAAAGTTTCTCTATTCTTATTCTAGCATTTGGGTACAAGTAATTAAACATGGGAAAATGGATGTTTTGTAATAATTAAATTAAGATGTTAAATAGTTTGTGTTATTATATGTAGATATGAGTAAATAATGTATTTTAATTTATATGATTTTTAGTACAATTATTTTACCCACAAATTGAATTGGGAAACTGATTTGTTTGGTGAATTTATTGAATTGTTAATATTTGGATAACTTTTTTTTCACACGAATATATATGACAATTATGTCAAACTATAGCAAATTTTAGTTTATGTCTCATATACCTACGTGACAAAGTTATTAACTACCCTTTAAGGTAATGAACTATTGTTTTTTTTTTTTTTTTTTTTTTTTTTTTTTTTTTTTTTACATCTAGACAAATTTTGTATTCACATTCAACCATTCAACTTGTTAAAATCGTTCACATAATTTCATTGTTTTAAAATTTTAAATCGGATGTTGAAGTCGGGAACATTCGCTCCACTCTTGTTACCTTAAACCACTTACTCTCAACAATTATTACTCCTAATGTACTAATAACAATGCAAAACTCTTAATATATACTAAGTAAGAAAATACAAGCAACCAACTTGCACATAGTAGGATATAAATCGATCATCTAAAGTAAGCTAGTACACCTTTAAAATTCTAATAGGGTAAGCATATAGGCCCTAGTGACTTTATGGTTTTAAAGGAAATACCTTAGTGTATTTTAATGTACTTAGACCCTTAAGGTGTACAAGAAATACCTTAGTTTACTTAGATAATCTTAAAATTTCACCTTGATGATGTCGAAAAGTTAGATGTATCCGACAAGAAGATTAAAAATGAGCTCTAATTACTTTATTAATATAACTCGAACGCATAAAAGAAAATAAATATACAGGTATTTGATTTGCGTGGAGCTCTCAACCGTAATAAAGGTTTATGGTGTGGACTACAGTCGACTCCAAATACCGACTTCAATTACCGATTGATATTATGTAAACAATTTTAACGAATTGCTTAGATTTGAACAAAACCAATTCATCACCCTCCTAGATAATTAGCTTTGCCACATATACGATAAGTAAGTTGTAACTTGCTACAATCAATCATAAGTTTTATATGTAAACATTTCTAATAAGTTTGTTGCTTACATGTGTACAAAATAAAAGTTACAAAAATGTAAACAAAACAAAAATTAAATTACCCTAACAACTCAATTTCCCAATTGAATTAGTCTGATTTCTTATTACACTATATATTAATTTGCAAGTCGGTGGATGTTTCCACCAACGTTTGCAACCCCTTAACTTTCATAAATTACATTCTTTTATTTGTATATATTTTAAATACTTTGTAAAATAATATTTATTATCCATTTACTATTTAAAATGTCATTTTGACCGTTTATTTTTTGAACTTGAAAACATATCACTTTCATCGATTTTATTTTTTAAACTTTATGTTTATCCTCAGTTGTATTTATGTGTCGGTATAAATTCAAGATGATTAATATTTTTATGTAAATTTAGAACTTTCGTTCATTTAAAAAATAATACTTGCTCTTTTTTTTTGTACGTGGTGGTATAAATTCGAGTTTTTCTAGATTTCAACGTTATTTTTTTCGTTCTTATATTTATATAAGTTTCATATTTATAAAGTAGTTACATATAATATACTTTGAATATTTGAAACGAACATAGAAAATTAATCTTATTTATTTCACCCTTATAATTTTAAAATACTTTGTAAATTGATATTTTCTACCCTCTACTTTTAAAAATGTTATTTTGACCTGAACCTTACAAAATATCACTTTTACCCCCCTCAATTTTCTAGACTTTCATGTTTATCCTATGTTTCGGTCAATATTTACTCAAGGCACTCAATATTTCGACGTCAATTTACAACTTTCATTTGTTATTTATTATTATTTTTTTTTAAATTTGCTTTGTTATTCATGTGTTGATAAAAATTCGAGTTTGCTTACATTTCAAAGTAAAATATTTTTATATTTTCATTATTATTTTTATATATGATTCTTACACATGAGTCGGGTCATATATAATACAATTTTAATTGTTTGAACTTCCTTTTGTTAATTTTAAAAAATTAATTTTACTTGCTTATTTTTATGTACATGTCATTATAAATTCACGTTTCTTTATGTTTCCACGTAAATTTTGTGTATGTTTTCATGCTTATTTTTATGTACATTCCTATGTTTGATTTTGATCACATATAATACGTTTTAATTTGACGGTACAAAATTAGAGTTTGCCGGTAGTACCAACCTTGTACATTTATTTAGCAGCAAATGCAATGGTACATAGCTTTCATTAATACATTAGTCAAAACTCAATTAAAAAAAGAAAAAACATCATAAATGGTCCCTGTGGTTACCCAAAATCTGAAGTTTAGTCCCCGTGGTTTAAAAACCTCATAGATGGTCCCTCTGTTTTCAAAACTTTTGATGTTTGGTCCTTTTTGCTAACTCCGTTAAGTTTGTCCGTTAACTGAAGGGTATTTTCGTCATTTCACAACCACATGGACCATTTATGATGTTTTCTCATATTTTTTTTAAAAAAGAAAAAACTAAATATAATTATTTAATATATAATCTCTCTCTCTCTCTCTCTCTCATTTGAAAAGAAGCTAAACCATATGGACCACCATTTCTTTACTCTAAAGCTTATGTATAACAAGAAAAAGAGAAGATCGGTGTCAAACAAGATCCATGTCTTGTTATTCACCTGACTTTCGCCATGAACCGCCTCGCATAACCCTATGTGCAATCGATCCCACCATCGGAGCCATCGCCCTAAATTTAGACCTCAACCCAGTATCATCGGAGCCACCACTGATCTGAAACACGGCTAGAACCCACTGAAAAACCCATGGATCTTCATTTCCTCTACTTATGTCGCCTCTCTCTTGTGTGTACTCCTTCTCCCCTTGGTTTCCCTATACTCAATCGATTTCTCTCTACGTAGTTGTTTATCTCTACCATCATCAGCTTCATCAATTTCATTTATGAATTCCTCTTCTAGCTCTTTATGAGCTGCGATAAACACTAAGATTTGGCTAATATGTGAACACTGACGATTGCCTCCTCCTTTCAGATACCTCTTATTGATGGAGGAAGATCCCTACCTGGTGAAATAAATTAAGCCTTAGAGTTTGTTGTTGGTTCTTGATGAAATTGATGGAGGCAGAACCAATTTCATGAGTTTTCGATGGGTGAGCTTGTATTGAAGCTCGCAAATGCAGAGCTTTTAGAGGAATTTGACAATGGAGATGATACTTCCGATTTAGGTCAAATATTATAGGCAAGGCTTGAATCTAGGTTACTGTTTTAGATTTTGATTCGGGCTTACAAATTTAGGTCAAATTATGGTGATCTTGCAAGGGTTCGACATCTTCGGATGCTATTGAGGCTTATATCAGGTAGAATTGTGAGAGAGACAGCAGCAATGGCGGTGGTTGGTGGTCTGAAAATTGTAGTGGCGATGGTGGTGCTTCACCACCAGTAGGTGAGTCTCTGACCGAAGGAGAAAGAGTACAAATCTGGGGTTTTTTCCCTTTGATTCTTCATCCCGGGAGAGAGAGAGAGAGAGAGAGAGAGAGAGAGATTATACATTAAATAATTATATTTATTATTTTTTCTTTTTAAAAAAAATAACTGAAAAGATCATAAATGGTCCCTGTGGTGTGATATGACGAAAATGTCCTTCAGTTAACGGACAAAACTTAACGGAGTTAGCAATAAGGACCAAACATCAAAAGTTTTGAAAACACAGGGACCATCTATGAGGTTTTTAAACCACGGGGACTAAACTTCAGATTTTGGGTAACCATAGGGACCATTTATGATGTTTTTTCTTAAAAAAATAATACATACCATTTACTATTTTGATCAATGATGTAAAAAATTTCAAATAGTTCCAGATTAATCCTTAGGAACTATATGATAGAATAAGTGGCACGTGAGACTCACTATTGCCTAGATAATTAGTGAAGTTTTCGAAGTTAATAATTTTTTAACATTTTTATTAAGTTTTATCTCAATATAAGCTATTTGAGAAACTATTAGTATTTTATTAGTTATATTAACTTATTTTTTTATGATATCCTTTCACTTGGAGAAATCTATGAATTGTGTTATAAGGATCAAAATAGTTTACGTTTGTCATATTGATGATCAGCTAGTCGTATTTATAGTTTGGAACCTTAAATTTTGAATCAGTTATATATATATATATATATATATATATATATATATATATATATATATATATATATATATATATATATACACACACACATTAATTTAACTAATTTAAAATTTAGGATCTCAAAATATGCATCGACTAATCCCCAAATAGACCAACTAATCTATAGTCACAAGTCGATCGCCATAGTACCGCTTTGCAACTTTTACAACCTTGATTTTGATACAACTGTATTATTCAATTGTTCAATTTGAATAAGACTATTTGATTCGGATATTCAAATTCTTTGATCGGTTTTCAACAAAACAGAATTATTATTTTAGATATTTGATTTGTTTTACTTTATAAAATAAGAACATAATACCCCCAATTAATCACTAGGAGTTACTTGACTGGCTAGCGGACGTTTAACGATTAATTCATGCATACACAATGAATGAAGCAGTAGAAAACGATGAAATTTCAACATTTTGAAGAACTTCTATCTCAACATAAACTATTTTGAGGAATGATTAGTGGTTTATTAATCATATTAATCTATTTTATTATGATATTAGTGTTATTTATAAGCTTTATTATGATATTAGTTATATTCAATTTTTTAAAATCAATAAATTAGCAGTTAATGATCCCCGATTAATCACGGCCTAACCGATTAATCCTCTAATATAATCCATCAACTAGCTAACATCGTACGTTTTTTTACAACTTCGCTATATATATATATATATATATATATATATACACACACAGAGAGAGAGAGAGAGAGAGAGAGAGAGAGAGAGAGAGAGAGAGAGAGAGAGAGAGAGAGAGAGAGAGAGAGAATTAGGTTTTATGAAAAACAAAAAACCCCAAAAAAAGACTAAAACCCCTAAAAATGCATAAAAAATACATTGAGATCACATTTTTTTTTTGACTTTATATAACTAAAATTCACAACTCTTTTATGAAATTCGCTGAAATGTTTTTTTTTAAAAAAAAAAAACCCAAAAA